TGGATGAGATGTATAATTGTCGGTGGCACACCGTAGTGGCGAAGTAGTTACCAAATCACCTCTCGATCGACTCTGTCGATGGCCTTTTCAAAGTCGATGAAGTTGAGATAGAGAGGTGACTGCCATTCCAAGCTTTGTTCAATGATGATCCGTAATGTTGCGATCTGATCAATGCATGACTTGTTTCTCCTGAATCCAACCGGTTCCAGTCGAAGTTTTTCATCCAGATTGGCTTGTTTGATTCTCTTTAGGATGATGCGGTTTAGTATTTTGCTTGGGATAGACAGGAGCATAATTCCGCGCCATTTCTTGCATTGACTTAAGTCTCCTTTCTTTGGTAGTTCGAATGGGTAGTCTTTCTTTCAATCCGCAGGTACCTTGCCCTGCTGGGATTCCGTCTCGTCCTGCTGCTTTTCCAGCTTTTAGCATCTTGTTGTTGGGCCGACTTGGGTATTTAAATCCAATCATATATACAATTGTAGATATTAGTTAGTGTTAAACAGTCACAAAATGGCAAACAGTTAGTTATAGGTATTAATAGTCAACAAGACTATATCCACAGAATTAGTGTTCGAAAGTTAATCAATCGCAAAAACATTTTACCACTTCATGGCCAGAAACACCAGAGAAATGAGAGTTTTATGTAACTGAGCAAATGTAACACACAAATCGAAAACGAATAAGCATAATACAGTTATGTAGTAAGGTGAATAGTTTAATGAGTGAGTGCGTTCTGATGAAGAGTCCCAAACTAGGACAATGGAAATGGCTGTCGAGTACTCCCTGGTGCTTCCCCAACGGTTCTCTAACCGATGTCAGCTCATGATGAAATCCTGTGACCAATCACAATTATATTCACTTATTTTTCTGTGTGTGTACACTAAGTAAGTTTGTCCAATAAGAATAAAATACGTCAGGGTTATTGTTGTCAAGACATTTTAAAACTGTGTTGAGTAGTCAAATTGTAGCTAGGGTGGAGGTTGAAGATTGGTAAGAGGTTAGAAGTGACGCGTTGTTAAAAAAACAAAAAACATAGAAATTAATGTTAAACAACACATAAAAGAAGTTGAATCAGCGTGATACAGTCACGTAATAAGGTGAGTAGTTTGATAAGTGAGTTGTGATTAGGATGCACATAGAAACAAACGAAAATGTGGAATTATGTTAGAGTTCTAAAAAATTACAAATGTTATGAGGAGTTAGAAAAAAACAAGCGCACAAACATCAAGTCAGCAGAATTCAACACGGTTGTTACGGTGAGATAGCAGAATTGGTGGGATGATTTTCTTTTGTGTACATGAGTCAACACTTGTTATTCCATCTCAACAAACGCCTCCTGCTTCAAAGTGATCTACAAAGTGAGGAATAACCTACCGAAGGCAACACGCTTTCGTCTCCTTTGCATTGCTCAAGCCTTAGCCATTCAGTTGGAAAAACCAGAGTCATGTATGCAAGAAAAGTCACCCAACCATTTCTACTATCTTGGCAACAACTGTGTTGAGTTCTACTGACTTGGTGTTTGTATGCCTGCTTTTTCTAACTCCTTATGACATTTGTTATCATTAGAACTTTTACATAATTCCATATTTTCCTTTGTTTCTATGTTCATCCTAATCACAGCTCACGCACTAAACTACTCATCTTATTGTGTAACCATACAACGGTTATTCAACTTCTTTTATGTGTTGACTAACGTTCATGTATATGTTTTTTTTGACAATAAACCATCATTACCCTCTTACCAATCCTCGCCCCACTCCTAGTTACAATTTGATTACTCATCACACTTTTGAATTGTCTTGACAATAATAAACCTAACTTATTTTTATTGTTATCGGACAAACCTAATGTACACAGACGTACTAAAATAAGTATATATGAATGGGACTGTCCAGCTGAGTGAATGAATTCACCGAAAAGAGACTCTTTGCTGAACTACGTGTTTTGTTTTCAAAACACTTAAAGCTCATCAAAGACATCTCTTTGGGAATGGCTGAAAAGATACCTCTACTAAACCTCGTGTTTTCTCTCTCACGTCATGACAAGTATGTTCAGTGATTGAAAATTATTTTTTTATTATTTTGAAACAGCCTGGATAATTTAATTTTCTCAACAACTATCACAATTCTTGAATATTCCCATAATTTTCAAGTATTGGTTTGTAGGGATTTGATTAATTGGTTACAGGATTTCATCATGAGCTGACATTGGTTAGAGAACCATTGGAAAACCTGTAGGGAGTACTGGACAGCTGTTTCCGTCGTCCTAGTTTGTGACTCTTCATCAGTACGCAATTTAAAATGCTAAAACAACATCTCCTTTCAATGCTTTTGTCTTTACAAAGTTAAACGACAGTTAACGATATATATATATATGTTCTAAGAGCTAGCCTTGTAACCAGAAGGTCCTGGGTTCAGACCACGATGGGTGCGTACTGTGAAGAGTCCCAAACTAGGACGAATCAGCTGTGCAGTATTCCCGTAATTTATTCATCAGAACAAACTAGTTAGAGCGAACAATTGTGGTTTCAATAATTTCTTCCTCCATCAGGCTCTACAATTATAAATCCATTAATTTAAGCATACAATAGCCAGTCAGTATAAGCAAATTAGAATGATATCAGAAATGTATTGTGATACAAGGATAAGATGGGATGGAACAATAGTCAGTTAGTTTTGAATATGTTTGGTCAATGAGAACATAAGATAAAATGAGATGAATTCCTATCACAGTGTTTTTTTCTCCTTTCCTATGTTCCATTGACAAGCGTTCATCTCTGACCTTTTACGACTTCATGACCTTTCTTATGATTTCTAATACCTTAGGTTTAAGTAATGCTTTTCTAACTTGTGATCATATTTACAAAATCTTGTTCATTTCACTAAATTCATCATTATTTGATTATCGTTCACCAATAGTACTTTTAAGTTTACTCCACATCATCGTCATTATTTCACAAACATCATTATTATTGTCGTTATTTTCATCCTTGAACTTATGTCTAGTCCACCCCATTCGTTGGTTTATTTTCTGTAGTATTCATATTGTCTCACACACCACTGATTACACTCATCCTCAAAAATTGTACTTTTGTTGACTGTATATATATATATATATATATATATATATATATATCATTAAATTATTTCATCTCATTTTATCTCATTGATCATGCATACTCAAAACTAACTGACTATTGTTCTATCCCATCTTATACTTTTTCCACAATACACTTTCTGATATGATTCTAGTTTACCTTTTCTGGCTGGCTATTGTATGCTTAAATTAATGGATTTATAATTGTAGATCCTGATGGAGGAAGAATTTATTGAAACCACAATTGTTCGCTCTAACTATTTTGTTTTGTATCACTATTCTATCAAATTTTACTTCGGAATCAGCAATGAACTCTGAATACCATGTGTTGGGATGTTTTGTGAAAAAGTCTATCTGACGATTCTCCTCAAGGATTCATCCACAGGAAACCAACATGGATTTTCGTAGTTGGTTCCCTCCGACAAGAAAGAGAAATTTAACTCACTCCTTACCTTAAAGAATAAGACGTAAATGCTCTAGTGATATAATTGGTGATGAACTGGAGAAACTCAGACAAGTCCTCATTGAAAATAGATATCCTACAAGATTCATCGAGAAAAACATGAGAGTAGCCAAACGCTTCCGAAGAAAGTGCTATTTATGAATTTTTATACTCTGTTGTCTTTTATGTATGACAAGTACGTGTTTTTGTGTGAGATCAGAATGTCGAAAATGTGTCTCACAAATACACTATGGAATCCAGATAAATTACATCTTCTTTTGTTTTGTCAAAATTTATAGAACCGATTAATTGTTCCATATATAGGATTGTTACTATGAGAGGTGAAATGTTACGATTGGAAGAGGACGGTGAATGAGGGTTAGTAAAAGCCCTTCAGAATTTGGATTGTAATAAATAGTGGGCAGTTTAAAGTTGTATTGCTAATAGCCTCCAACCACTGTTTTTATAAAAGCATATACATACATTTTCTAAAATATGAATGAAGTGTCTCAAACGTCTCCCAGATCCATTAAATGCTCATATTTCTCCACGTAATTATCCTTTCTCCCGTAGACAACTGCTCAATACAGTTCTCTAGAATACTGGTTGGAGGATTTCATCATGAGCTGACATCCGTCAGAGGACCATTGGAAAACCTGCAGGGAGTACTGGACAGTCAGCTGTGTCGTCCTAGTTTGGGACTCTTCATCAGTACGTACCAGCCGCCAGGGTTTGAACCCAGGACCTTCTGGTTACAAGGCTAGCGAACTCGTAGACCATTAAGCCAGTGGGACCCGATCCAATGGCCAGCCCATGAATTCTGACATCTGCCAATTCATGACATAGTGTGACCACTTCGCAATGTCTTCTTCGATGAGTTACTGCCTCACCTTCAACCTGCTGCACCCTACTGGTCACGGCTTCCCACTAGAACCACAGGTCACTGCCTGAATAGGGCCAGTCGCTAGTGAGCATCAGATCCTCCAACCAATCAAACAAAATCCCTACAAAATCCAATACTTGAAAATTCTCTAGAATATCTTTTTTCCAACCTTTGTGTACTACATGGAGTATGTCAACTTCAACTGGTGCACTTTTGTGTTCAAACTCAGTCAGTCACTCAGAACCAGATGTGTTGTCAGCGACCATTGTGATGAATACATGGAGACTAGGAGAAAAACAAACAAACAAACAGGAGCTGTTTGCCTTTAGATTTGGATAGTTTAAACTACCGTAATTCTTACAAAATCGATTACCGTTTATTTTTTTTTCTATTTGACCTCTTTCTTTTTTGCTTCGCTTTACCTTTTGTCATATATATTTTAAGTGGACATTGACCTCACAGTTGTGTGTGTATTCTGACCAATTTGCATAGTTACATAATATATTTGTTTTACTTAAATATATACATAACACTTTTGTTCTACTTATACTATTACTACAACTGGAATTTTATTTTTAGAACTATTATATTCGAATTGAATACTCGATGTTATCCTTTCGAAGAATTTGATATATGCGAGTATATTCAGTATCTGCGGGCTGGTGAGAGAGATGAAGGCGGTGAGCATTGTATACCAAGATCTGTGAAGGTAAAAATTTTTTTCTTTCAAAAATGAGTAAAATTCATTATTTGATCAATGTTATGACGAAATACAATTAATTATTAATTTTGCTTACTAAAATATATCCAATTCAAAATCTCTGGATAGCTGGCTAATTTCCAGTTGAGTGGTGAAATTACAGCTTGGTTGCCTTTGGAACAGATCACTGCTGGTTGATATAGGCAGGATACAACCACTCAACTCAGTTAATCAGTAGTATGTATTGCTTTTTTGATTACTATTTATGGTATGCGGCAGATCACATTGTGATGTGAATAACTTGGTTTTCCAAAGGGAACCACACTGTGATGTCAGCAGTCAAACTGTGTCGGTTAGAAATTGCCTAGCAATTTGTACATTGAGAATTCGACTGATGGTATGACCAGTTCGACCAAGTAACTAGTCAGAAATCGAGTAGTTTGAACTGATTCGGCTCTCTGAACTGAGTCAAGCCGGGTACACCGCTGATGAGCCCGGTCCCGAACGAGTGAAACGGCCCTCCGGTGATTATATCACCTCTATCTGGCTAGCAGGCACTACTGGTTGTTATGGGTGGTATGTGATTACTCATCTCTCTCAGTCAGTAGTATATAGTTTTAATAAAATAACTTTTGGGAAAGAAGGTGTTTGTACGAATAGACAGTGTCTTGATTGCTGGCTTATCTTCAATATCCACGTTACCAGTGTTACAAATACATCTCACAGTAAACATACAACGATTTATTCATGGAAGTAAGTAAAGTTTGTTCAGCATTAATTAAAGTTTTATTTTCACATGACAAAGTCTTCATCAACTGCTTGTACCCAGTAGAAAACGGCTACTGGTCTAACCACTGATCATCGTTGCCTAGTGATAAATATTTAGACCAGTGTTGAAGTAAACATAAAATGCGCTGTTGAATATTTAGATGTTAACATTAACTTATAAAAATTTGTCATTCATTTGCATTTCAAGTGGAACGTAGGGACTCAAGATTTGAGGTTTTAGTAGTAGAGTTGGTGTTTAAATTATTATATTATTATTATTGTTCCCTTGGGTTCCTAGTGGAAAAAATAGGGCTTCAACTGCACGTCTCTACTTGTTTCTGTCTTCTGCTGTACTTTTCACCTGCATCCATGTTAGTCCATACTGTTTCAACTCCTCTTCACACGATCTCCTCCATGTCACCCTTGGACGTCTCACTCGCCGCTTCCCTTTCGGGTTCCACTCGAGGGCCTGACGCTCGATGTCACCCAGCGGCCTCCTCAGCGAGTTTCCAATCCATCTCCACTTTCTCCTGCATATTTGTTGAGCGATTGGTTCTTGTTTTATTTGTTCCCATGGTTTCTTGTTGGTGATTCTTTCCGGCCATCTGATCTTGAGTATAGAGCGAAGACAGTTGTTGATAAAGGTCTGCAACAGGCTGTTGGAAATATTCTTTGTGACCCGCCGCCAAGTTTCTGATCCATCCGTATAGAAGAACTGACTGACTTGACGTTTGTATTGAAAATCCGAATTTTGTTGTTGATGTTGAGTGAAGAAGATTTCCAGATTGGTTTCAGGTTGATGAATGTGTTTCTCGCCTTCCCGATTCTCGATTTGACATCCTCGTCCGTTCATCCTGTAGTTGAGACAATGCTCCCTAGATAAGTGAATGAAGTAACCTCTTTCAAATGCCTTCCGTTGATGGTGATTGACGCTGGATGTTGCTGTTGTTGTTGTGGTTGGTTGGTTATTTTGATAACCTCCGTCTTGTCTATGTTCACCTGTAGTCCTGTCTTCGCTGGCTGCTTCTTCGACCAGTTTGTCGGTTTTCGCTTGTAAGTCTTCGATTTTGTGTGACACTAAACATAAATCATCCACACGCGAAATCCATGTCTTCTAGGTTCTTCACGTCGGTCCAGGATATCCCTGTCTTCATGTTTCCCCCTGTCTGACGCATAATCCAGTCCACCACAATTAGGAATATCATTGGTGATAATAAGCATCCTTGTCTGACTTCTGTGTTTACTCCAAAAGCCTCGCTGAGTTTTCCGTTGTGGATCACTTGACATGTGCCGTTGTCGTACAGCTCTGTTGAATAAGGTTGATGAATATTTGGGGTACGCCGTAGTACTCGAGTAGTTTCCAAATTACTTCGCTGTCATAAATTCTGATTTCTGTCATTTCATGATATAGAGCTTCCATCAACCAACGCCATCAGTGAGCAGTTGCTTCACGCATTGGCCACAACGTTTTCATTAGGACTTCAAGATATCCATCCCCACGTCAACAATGAGCTGGATATGATATTTCAGATTTGAAGTTTTTCAAGAGTTACTTCGTAGAGATTTGATTGACCTCAAGTTTGATCACGTACCGGGGTCAGTTAGAAAACCATTGAAATACTAGAGTGCCGTTTCAACCTAGTTTGGGACTCTCCAGTGGTACGCACCCACAAGAGTGCGAATTCAGGACCTCCAGGTTATAAGGAGGCTATCTCGTAGACCATTAAGCCACTGGGATCCAATCCAATTCGTGATTTAAGAGCGACCACTGGCTAATGTCATCAGTGGGTATTTGTCCTCACGCCAGACCCAGTTGACCCAACTTCTCACTAGAACACCAAGCAACTTCATCCTATAGCCAGTCACTAGTTAGTCTCAGATTAATTTTCAAGAGTCACTGGTATCTAGCTGACATTAATCCATGAACGAATTTTGAGTTCGACTAGTTTCAGTTTAGGTCTCGTTAACAATTTCCTGCCTACTATCGCCAATGATTTTCCTGATTGCAGTAGACTGGATAATGCGACAAACAGCGGGCAATGAGGAAACAGGCATAAAGTGGACCCACACAAAAAACTTGAAGGATCTGGACTTCGCCGATGATATATGTCTGATTTCCCACAAACTGGAAGATATGCAAGTGAAAAGTTGGCAGAAGAAGCATCAAAGATAGAACTGCAGGTGAACATAGAGAAAACAGAGGTGATGAAGATTCCTGGACAAGAACAACAACAATCAGCATAAATGGGAGGAACCTGAAAGAAACAATCTCTTTTACCTACCTGGGAAGCATCGTTTCAACTACAGGCGGAACTGACGAGGATATCAAAGCAAGAATCAGAAAATTAACATAAGCTTTCACTACTCTCAAGTCTGTGTGGAGGTCAAAAGCACTCAGCATCCAAAATAAGATCCAGATTTCCAACTCCAATGTGAAGTCAGTGCTACTGTACGGATCAGAGACTTGGAGCGTCATAAAGAGCAGCTCAAACAAACTGCAGACCTTCATTAACAGTTGTCTTCGCTCAATACTCAAAGTCAGGTGGTCAGAAAAGATCAGCAACAGAGATCTCTGGGAGGGAACCAACCAGGAACTGATTGTGAAACAAATAGGTAGGAAGAAATGGATTGGCCACACTCTGAGAAAACAAACCATCAACTGACATCACACGCCAAGCCATCGCTCGAATGGAACCCGAATGGGAAGTGGCGAGTTGGTCGTCAGTGGGAGGGTGACATGAAGGAGGTCATGTGAAGAGGAGATGAAAGCGTGTGGGCAGACTTGGAGCCAGGTGAAAACTCTAGCAGAGAACCGAACGCACGGCTGAAACCCTATGTTCCTCTAGGAATTAAAGGAAATAATAATAATAATAACAATTTCCTTGAATGAATTGTATTCCTTACTTTACTCAAGTACTATGAAAAGAGTGCAAAATAAGTGAGACTTTTTTTAAAATTTCTTTTTCAAAACAAGACGAAATTGAAGCTATTATTACGCAATCTTTTTCTCGTTTCTTTCTTTAAAAAAAACGAAATACACAGAATTTAATGCATAACTGTTGGTCAGGTGATCCAACAAAAAGACCATCAATGAATACTATTTCACAAGAATTAGTCAGAAGTGTAAGTTGTAAATGTTTTTCTTTTTTGATAAATAAAATTAAACAAAATTGATGAATAAATAAGAGAAAAAAACTGTTTGTGTTCACAACTCGATTTTAATTTTTCCGTTGATTGATTGCAGAGAAATGTTCGGTCTCTGTTGAGTGAGATGTAGGCTTCCTAGTGCGAACGCATCAACGATGTTTGAGGATTAAGTAATTTGTTGAATAGTGACTAGCCTTGGAATCCAGGATGCACATTTCGTCCAGTTTGTGACTCGTCATCTGGATATGCCTGCAATCCAAGACAAATGATGATGTTCTGTCTGAGGTTCGGACCCAGTTCCCATCATTTTGGCGTTTGAAATGACGGTTACTGGGTTCGAGTCTCAAGGAGAACATCATCATTTGTCTTGGATTGCAGGCATATCCAGATGACGAGTCACAAACTGGACGAAATATGCATCCTGAATTCCAACGCTAGTCACTATTCAACAAGCTACTTTAAATTCATCCTCAAACATCTTTGATACGTTCGCTCTAGGGAGCCCTACATCTCACTCAACAGAGACCGAACATTTCGTTTCCATCAATCAATCAATTGTGTAGTCACAAATGACACGATTATGAACAATGAATTTTGTCCGTTACTTTGCCATCCAGTAAATAATGCTGTTACACTGTGTGATCGATCCATTTAACAAATCAAAACGGAATAATCTTAATATCACCTCTATCAAGTTATTCTGCTTCCCAACGAGAGACTGACCTGAGACACCTAACGATTATGTCCTACAGTCATGTAGAGCACAGGACGTAGCCACACACGCGACATGCAGTGCGTATGTAGACGACATTGATTGGTAAATGAAAAATCCCCATATTAAAATCAAAACAAGATTTTGAGCGAACAATTGTTTTCGATAACTTCTTCTTCAGGCTCTACAGTTATAAATCCATGAGTACATATAGCCAATAAAGGCAAATGAAAATAATATCAGAAACTGTATTCGGGTGCATGTGTAAGTTGAGATGATAATCCATTAGTTACCATAGTCAATCAAATGTGTATAGGGTGTATAGTCAGGGCTGACCGATAATGTCTAATGATAAAATAAAGAGGCTAAATTGTAATAAGATGTTACAGAATTGGTAGGCTTAGTGTAAAATCACAAAGTTTGACAAAAATTAAGGGTAACAATGAGGTGAAATAAACTGGGTGGAGAAATGGGTAATAAAGACATGATATCACAAAATGATAATAATAATACGAATAATTATGACCCTGGTGACCTTGTAGTGGGCCAGGGTAGACAGAGACAGTGAATAAGTTTTTTCTGTACACATAAGTCTGGTCTCTCTCTCTCTATTAATCTTTAAAGCCTCAGCTATGGCTAGGAGGCGTAATCGTTTGCCTTTGGGGAGATTGTTCGGTACTCGATACACAACTGCAAATGACTCGTCTACTTTGATGCTGTGTTCGCTATCCACTAGATGAGACAGAATTGCACTATTTAATGATTTGGTTGCTCTTTTCCCAAGCCAAACAGGAATATGTTCACGAGTGGGTACAGATAAATCCCTTTGGGTACGACCTATATAACTAGCTCCACAGGAGCAGTTGGATTTATATACACACATTGATGTCGCCATTCTGGGTAGTCTATCTTTAATGCACAGTGTCAATATCGGTTTGGTTGAGAAAGTGACATGCAGTTTTGCGGCACTGAAAGTTCTTTCAATTTGTCTTGTTAATCCACGGTTTAATATATCACTGGATATATCGCCTTTGAATTGTACATTTAAGTAAAGCATTTTCTTACTTACTGTGTCTCGCTTAGTTATATGTGTAGTTTCATAGATATACTTCTTTACAAAGTTGGTAGGATAGTCGTTTTGTAGCAAGGCGTTTGTAAGATTTCTTATTTCATCTTCAATACAATCGTCGGTACATATGCGTCTAATTCTATGACTAAGACAACGAATTAGGTTGCGCTTATATTGTATAGGTATGAAACTATGGAAGTGGCTGTATTGTCCATTCCACGTCGCTTTCCTATAAATGTTTCTCCTTAAGGTAACGTCTGCTCTTTTTGTAAGAAGAACATCCAGAAGTGAAATACTACCTTGGAGTTCCTCTTCAGAAGTGAATTTAATAGCTGGGTGTACCTTATTGAAGACTTGGAGCAGGTGTTGTCTATCCAAATTATTGTTACAAATGATAAAGGTATCGTCAACGTATCGACAATAATAATCGAGTTTGTTTAGTATTTCTTTTAAAGGACCATTTTCCAATTTAGATAGAAAAATGTCAGCTAATAAGGAACCAAGGGGAGAACCCATAGCAACCCCATCTATTTGGCGGTAATACTCCTTTTTAAATACAAATTAGACGTTCATACTGCATTGACATCGATTAACAAATGCCAAATGTGTCTTCTGAATCCTCAGTGAGCTTTCATTAGCAAGCAGCCCATTGTAACTGATGCAACTTTCCGAATGAGTGAATAGCTGAACGCATTCAATAAACACGTTCAACACACTACCAATCAAACCTACTTAGATCATTGTCCAGAAGACTGCATTTTGTCAGTGTCTTCACTTAAGACGACTTAACACCACGTAGCCAGTCAGTCTCTGAAACCTCATGTCCTTATCAAAAGCTGGACACATAACAGCTGCTGGTATTTTACGCCTGTTCAGTAGCGGGAATACATACACATGTACAGACAAGAGACGAATCCTTACCTAAGAGAATTGCGTAAGACAAGACCAATGTTATGTGTTCTTTGGTATGTCACTGTGTAGACACTTCGCATATGCTTTCCGGACTAATCGAGCTTATCTGTCTGGAATCAACATAGAACTTGGCACCGAAGTGCAGCAGTTCGAGTTGCCACGTTCCAAAGAGCACACAAAGGTAGACAAGAAGATGAGTGAAGAGAATCAATAGAGTTTTGACAAGTAAAGGAGTGAAACAGAATGAGTAATGGTAGAAAGCAATATGAAAGATTACAGAGACTGAATACATCTGCGTAAGCCATTGACAACGATTTTGAGCCATGTCACCTATTGTCTCCAGCCATTGATTCTTAGAGTCCCAAGGGCCCCAACCTGGAAGTCTGCATCTCCCTACCTGACTCAGTTTAACTGTCAAGGATTTCATGGATTGATGAGGCCATGTTTTTGTTTGGCTACCACTTACTCTTTTCCAACCTGCACCTATATCGACTAGTAATGCCCGTCGGGGGAGGCGATGGCTAGGCATGCGCAGCACGTGACCTAACCATCTCAATCTATGTAACTTCATAGCCTCTTCGATTGATTTTCCCTCTTTGCCCAACACTCTATGCCTGACGTCAACATTACTTACCTTATGATACCACCTAACGCGAGAAAGAGATCGTAGACATCTATGATCAAAAACAGACAACCTTTTCATGTCTTCAACTCGTATTGGCCATGTTTCAGAGCCATAGAGAAGGACGGAGCGAACTGCTGAGCAGTACACACGTCCCGTGGTTGATAGTCGGATGTCACGCCTACGCCAGAGATGGTGTGAGTTAGCGAAAGCAGCCCGAGATTTTTGGATCCGTGCTGAGATTTCGTCACCAATCAATCGGTTGGTACTGATACAACTTCCCAAATAGGTGAAGTGGTCAACATGTTCTATCACTTCACTCCCTATCACTAAGCTAGGAGTTGACGTAGTCTAGTCCTGTAGCAGCATCTTACATTTCACAGGGGCGAATCGCATGCCAAACATACGAAGATTGCTGCTCAAGGTGTTCAGAAGACTCTGCATTTTGTCAGCATTCTCCCCTAACAGGACTATGTCATCTGCATATTCTAAGTCCATAAGACTATTCCCTGGTAACAAGTCGATTCCTAAGTCGTTAAGTTCAGTTAAGGATACTTCCATTAGCATATCTATGATGAAGTTAAACAGAAAAGGGGAAAGTGGACATCCTTGACGGACACCACTGGTTGTTATCAATTCAGATGACAATTCCCCATTAGGCCTTATCACCACCAGTAAAGACTACTTACTTTAATTAAATATCCAGACTACAGGTGTCACAAATTTCCTGGAATAATCTGAGCACAGACAGAGTTAGACTGAATCATTATTAAAAATTACTATCATCAGTAAACTAAAGAGCTTCTCACGAAATTTCATTCTTTCTTACGTCCGAGCTGCACACAACCGGTAAGTGAGTGAGAAGAGATTACAAAAAGAAATCCATGAATTTCTTGATGGACTGACTCATTCAGCCAACTATCCCGTCGGCTCTAACAGAGTAGCGGCCGTTCCATTATTTATTTACCTCAATACCATCCTCACACCAGCAAATCGACGAGCACTAGCCAAAAATACTACCTCTTAACTTTTATACAATCGTCATGTTAAACGAAAAGTAAGAAAGTGAATAACTACATTCGGGTCTAGTGGTATGCGTACTGCGATAATATGAACTACATCTAATCCCTGAATTCTAGCTAATGTGAACTGATACACTACACGACTTAGCATAAACTGTAGCAATATGATATGTTAAGAATATAGTTTTAAGTGACTAGTAAGGGTGTTTTTTTGTGTCTCCGATTGACCAGTAGTGGACACACGGTTAAAACAAAAGTATAAGCAGACTTTTCGACTACAAACTGTCTTCAACTTTCGTGCGTGGCACAGCGGTTATGACTCTCGCCGACCATACGCATGGTCCAGGGTTCGATCCCCTGCCGACGCGCACACTTGATATCTATGGTTGGCCTACAAAATTTGAGCTACCGATATCACATGCTGAAAATTCCATACTTGTACCAACAATACGGTGTGGAATCAAGCTGTAATCAAAATAAAATAAATAATAATAATAACAAGCATTTTATTTTCTTTCCAAACATTTCAGCATATATTGTACAAACGTCAAAACTCTGATCCAGTTCCCAAAAGATCTACGAGATATCCTGTTAATGGATTTTGAATCTAGTGTCAAATGAATATATTACAAGTGAAATTTTTTTTAAAAAAAAGCAACAACAGAGGAATGCTATACTACAATATTATCCTATTTAGGAACAAATGACTTTTTAAAGAAAATGCGATTTATCACATCCTCCACAATGTATAATAAGTACCCTAGTTGTATCTACTTTAGTGTTAACAATATATGATAAACACCTGATTACTTTCTGTCTTCTCATTCTATATGGACTAGTGAAGAATTAGGTAAAGAAATATTCCATACAACCGGTTCGTTTTATTAGTTTGAATAAAGAAAGAACGAACATATTTGCAAGGTGATTTATTTTTATTTCTTTACGTTCCCAGTGGAACATAGGGCTTCGAACTAGAGGTTTGAAGTTTCGGTAGCAGTGGTGTTTATCTTTACGGGATGGGGTCGCTAACCTCGTGCGTAACCTTCTCTATTGACCAGTCTTATTACTGGTTTAGTGAGGTAAAGGATTGCGTCGGCCGGAGATAGAACCCCGGACCACTTGAGGCGTGGTCGGCGAGCATTCTACCTCTGTGACACCCAAGATAATACGAAGTCTTATAATTTTACTTTACTATTCACCCCAACCCTCTTGAACTCTCCATCATAATACATTGTATAAATTCACTTTGTCGTTCTATCTTGTATTTTGTCTTTAGTCCATCCTTGTTTCCAAGCGAAATCTGAACTCTACCCCCTCCCTCTTGTTTAATTATTATATAAATAGTTACTCTCTAAACACTGAATAATTCGTCTACTTAAATCATCTTTGGAATTAAGTTGCTTATACTTGCTATCTAGAACTCGAAGTCAATGTAAAAATTATGTTCAGACATCATTTTATAACTTATATAATTGATTTTGTTTGTTTGCAGCTGATGAGAACCTGTGAAATAGAGTATATCATTATATATTTTTAGATTTTGTTTAGGATGTAGACAGTTGAAGAGGATCAATGAAGTAAAACGAGCTTGTATTATCCCGCAAACATGTTCGTTGTTTCTTTATTCAAACTAACGAAATATTATTCTTCACCATTTTATGATTGAGCTTACACACCAACGAACTCGAGTGTGTGTGTTCCTGTTTATCATGTACCAGGTTATCAGACGCATATTTTCTTTCTGTAGTGGATGATTATACCATCAAAGTTGCCCAAACTGTGAAGTATAGGGTAGAGAATTTAGTTCGAACCCGAGACCTATTGGCTGGCTTAAAGTTGAGTGTTTATAATACCGATGAGTCACAACTTCAAAGACACACCTCCCCCCCCCCCTACCCAACTAGGTTTAGTAAACATAAAACAGCCAGACATTCACAAAGTTATTGAAAGAATAGAAGAAAAATAAAATCAAAGCTTATATAAATAATACTTTCTTTTATAATTGACTCACTAATATGTTAGAAGTGTGGAATATTTACACGATTTTATATTGGGATAGAAAAGAAAGAGAATGAGTAGAGTAAAGTAGTATACTATCGTATAATAAGGAACAGTAGGTCAAGTTTCAAAAAAGACTGAGTACAAGAAGGAAAATCTAGTTCGATGGACTTCTTACTGAATTAAGTAATTCTTCGTAAATAGGCAGAGAGCATGTAATGTGTTGAAACAGGAGATGAAAAAAAAAACACAGTGAATTACTGTTAATTTTTGTGTTATTCAAACACCGAGCATTGAATAAATATCTCGATCATCGTCTCTGCCAGAACGACGTCGACCAGAATATGGAGGTTCATTTATATTTCCACGATTTGAATTCGGATGGGGGAATTTAGGATGAGTTGGGGGTATTGAACAATGACGTCTAGGATCTAAAGGATGATGTTGATGAGTGACAAACGGTCGTCTAGGAAAGGAGTTCATTGAAGGATGCATAAATTCTGCAGTATGGCCTGGGTAGCGAATACCAGGGTCAGGCAAAGATGACATTCTCATTTGCTGATGAGAAGGATCGTTAAACGGAATCTCGGGTAGCATGTTGTTGCCAATAGCAATCGGATCAGAGTTAGGCCGATGACGAGGGGAGCTTGTCGCAAAACGTGGGAGACCAAAGTTATCTTGAAAAATACGACTGGGAGACCCTAGATGTCTTGGCCTATATTCCAAGTTCCCATTATCAGGATGATGGCTTCGAGACGACATCCCTACCTTATATTGTGCAGATGGAGAAGTTAAAAAACTTGGCATATTTGGATGAGGATGTTGTGGTCTGTGAGTGAATAGTATACGCTGAGATGTAGGAAGGGGTGGTGGAGGAGGAGGTGGAGAAATAATAGGATTAGGTGTGGATTTTTGTGCGTTAGATTTATTATTACAGAATGCTTCTTGGCTCTTTGACTTAGATCGCATTGCTAGGTCATATATACGTGCAATACGCGTATCAAGATCTTCAGTGCATGAAGGAACATAAGGTATTTCTTCACCAGAATTATCGTTGACAGAAGAAGAAGACTGGATATTTACCTTGTCTGATTTTGTGTCAACATTATCAGAAGAGAGTTGATTGTTGCTTGACTGTTGAGAAGCATCGCCTTTATTTGCCTCATCTTCTGTGGTCAGAGCGGAGTTAAGATATCGTTGGTAATGTTCCAGAGGATGAGGAAGAGCATGGGGACTGCGACCTCCATGGGGTGGTGTTCGTGTTTCTCGTGAAATATTATTCAACATATCAGGAATATTTCGACAATCTGAAACAGAATGCAAATGTCTATTAGATGATGAAGTCTCTGTAACACTTCCATTATTTGTAACATGACGAAAATGAGGAATATCTGTTGCTGCCTTCAAAATCATATCAGGATCACAACGAGTTGGAACGTATGGTTTATAGAGCGGGGGTGAATCTTCAGAAGGATGAAGCGAATGCGGTATATATGCACGCGAAGAACATTGGGGTGGCGTCGCCTCTAAATTTGTACGGAAATACGGATTAAACGATGAAATAAACTTGGGTAGTAAATTATTATGACTGCCTTGTGTAGTTTGCATTTTCACACCCTGGAACACAGGATAGGGATACTGAGGATTGTTGGTGACCAGAGGACGAGGGGGAGGAGGATGTACACCTGAATATACTGTCGATTGACCGCAATCAGGAATCGGCGTTCTCGTCGTAAATACGTTGAGTCGACTAGGTATTGGCTGGGAGATATTATTGGTCTTTAAGAAGTTATCAGATTCAGAGGAAGTATGACGAGTGGGAGATGTAGCATCAACTTTTTGGATAGGATCACTCGGTTCTTTTTGCTCTTCATATTCATCCACGATATCAAAATCATTCATATCATCGATAGTTGATAAATCGATCGAATCGTTAGCTACATCAGTAGGAGACTTGGTGGATTGTTGTGAATGAGTTGAACTAGCAGGTGCTTCTTCAGGAAGAGGAATATCTCGAATGCATACATCTGATTGGTTATTTACTTCTTTAGATGAAGGAATTAATGGAGACTGTGATTTATACATCGTGGAGACAACAGTTTCAGAATCACGATTTATTATGGGGACAGACGTTGAGGATGACGACGATGTGACAGTCATGCTTACATCGTATCTTTCATTAGCTTGAGATGAATTCGGTGTCGCATCCACTGAAGACGGAGATTGTAAAGTTTCTGAATTACTTTTCACTGTTTCACTATGAATTATTTTACTACTACTACCATTACTATTATTAGTATGTACAATATCCTTTGTAGGACGACTTGTTAACTGGAATAAATCAGCCATTGTTTTAGGTCCAGTATAAGGAGGAACAACAGAAGTGGATTCAGTGTCTTCTGATGCATCATATTTATTCATCAATCCAGCAGAATGCTTTTTCACATGATGCTGTTGATGCTTAACCAATTCAGCATGAGCTAAATCCAACTAAATAGGAAAACAAAAGTGAAAAATAATCGATTAAATAATGATTACTTATAACAATATTATATAGAATAATTTATATTGCAGAATATTTAGAAACAATACGGGTATCACATGGAATACAGTCATTGAGTAGCTAACTTGAACTAAATTTATATTTACTATGCATTAAGAGAGTCATGTCTGTAAATAGTGAGGAAAAGGGATGTCTGTTTAATTTTTATAATTATGTATTTTCTGCTCATTGATTGCACCGAAATGTGGGAGACCTTTGCTGACATGTCCGCCAAATAACATGCTACTCCTCAGAAATTATCAAAATGCCTGTGCTAGGAGCCAACATGCCACCGGACACTTCGGTCGAAATACAACCAGTCAATGGGAAAAACAAACAAAATTACACGCATAATGAATGATATCCGTTGCATAAGAGGTGGCTCTCTCATAACCCAAGTGGCCTAGTGGATAACGCTATGGAGTTTGAATTGATGAATTCTAGGTTCAGGGTTTCGACGGCAACACCACTACTCACACTGAGAATCCAGGTACATCCCCTAGATGACGAGTCCTGAATAGGACGAAGTGCACGTCCTAGATTCCACTGTGAATTACCATCTGCCATATAGCAAAAGGAATCTGTATGGTATGGATTTATTAATTAGTAAGAAGGAACCAAAGATCATCGATCTAGTCATTAGTATTGGTGCTGGCTGGATTCAATCAGTCAAATTTACAAGATGGTCAATAATCCACGTGAAAAGTTAAGTGGTCGGCTGGAGGGGATCGGTAGGGATCACTGCACATACATTTTATGCTCATTGTTCACTTGTCGCAACGGCCGGGCAGTATTTACAAGCTCGAAGGATCAATCATATAAAGCTAGTCAATACAAGAGCTAGGGAAATCAGTCGATAGGATTTATAACATCATTATGGCCAACTTTTTGCAGTGAAAATAATGACTAGAATGACTTGACAGCTACGCCCCTTAAGACCACACTGACTCACAGAGCACTTTCAACCCTGAATACACATTCACATCTCTAGATAATCACCATCATTTTGATGAACTGAACCTGTTAAACTTGAACTGAATTACTGACGCATTTAACTGGACTGTACATAATGTATTTGATGACAGGTACACAATGTATCCTGAATTTTACACACGAGAAAGTTATGACAAATATCGGCTGAGAATATTATTTAACGAAAACAACTAAATGAAATATCCAAATCAGTATGATTATAGATACAATGACTTTTGTGAACCAGAGGAATTGTAGAGACGAAATAAATACTTGACATGTGATTCCATGCCACATATAAAGAGATGTCGTCTATTCAAGCTATCCTGGAGACAATGTCCAAA